TAAAATGTATTATTGAACAAAAGTCATCTCGACCGAACAACTTAAACTCTTATATATATTATAGTTTTAGGGCCTAAATTCGGCCCTAGAGGTGCTTACTAATTCTTTTTGTAAATCTTTGAATCCTATCAAAGGCGAACTATTAGGGCCTCAGCAAAAATACTTGTTAAAAAGTATTCATTTCTTGTGTATTAAAGGAAATGGAAAGCCGAATTTTGTACAATTTTTTTTTTTATTTTCTAATTTAACAAGGCCTCAAAATGTCCAAGAGTTAGGGCCTTTTTCTACATCTAAGAAGCTGAAACAAGATTTAACAAGCATTAACTTAAGCCGATAAGTAGAAATGAGGTTAAGAAGAGTTTTAAAGAAGTGTTAATTATGAGGAAATTTTAACGGTTTTACAAGTATTTGTGTGGATAAAAAAAAAGCCCATTTTTGAGGAGATAAAACGGGTTCTTCACAAAATTCCTTTAATCCTTCATATATTAGCCATTTTTTCTATCAGTAAAGGTAAAAAATACTTCTGCAAAGCGTATTACGGGCGCAAATTCGCTCAGCAAAGTGTCGCTTACGGAATGGAAACCATTAAAGTTACAATCAAACCAATTGGATCTCATGAAATACCTGAAGAAATCTTAAAATAATGATACGTTGGGTATCATTTGGTTTAATCATTTGAAGATCTAAACGAAAATCTAACTGATAAAATCTGAATCCATCAGATCGGAAGAAGGTTCTTCAGAGGTTCGGTGGTAAATATAATGAGATAAATTTTAAAGTAAACTAAACAATTCTCACCTTTAGGCACGGATTTTTTTTTAATGCTCTCTCCTCGACTTTAAATCATCATCAAACATAGTAAACGTGCTATCTTTGGGATGTCTTCACGTATTCCAGTGTGTTACAACGCACTTTGCAGCAAGTGCTACCGGCGCAACAATCAACATGACAAACGATCAACACACCTTAAACTAACATTCGTGGCAATTTTTGTCGTTAAAAAAGGCAAAAGCCGTTTTACTTCAAATAGATAAAGATCAAGAGAGTGTATTAAGGAAGGGAGAGAGAGAGATAGGAAAAAAAAAGGGATAAAGAAGCAATGTGAGAAGTAACAACGCCTTTTATTAATGATGCAACAGTAAGTAGCCTCAAGTAAATCATGGAGGAAACACTGAGGTTGAGCATTCTACCAGAAATGTGAGAAAACATGGAACTACCAAGTGTGGTCGGCCCTCTCAACCCTATTATTATATTTATTAGTTGCAGTATGATAATCACTCTGTCGCTGCTCGCCCGGACCATGGCCCTGTTGATCTGTTTGTAATAACAGGGAGGTTGACACATGGCATTAATCACGGAGAAAATTGGAGATGACACTACGACCAATCACCCCGGGCCAACATTCGAGTTTGGATAACAGGAAGTGCCCTGTAAAGGAGGGAGGGGGTATAAAAGGAAATGACCACTTTTTCTCTCTTATATGCTTTTAAACCGGACGCACCCGGTTACGAAATTTTTAACATTTATTATTTATTTATTTCATTCTTTTTATATATATATATATAAACTTTGACCTTGTAACTTATTAAATCTTCTTCGAGTTTTTGGATCCATTAAGTCGTTTCGGTGTGTAATTAATTATTACTACTAAATTCTCAAGCACTTTTTATGCAAGTATGAGCTTAAAAGTTTGGTTATTACATGTATTTTTGGTTAATTTCGAATGGCAAAGCGTAAGAAATCGCGTTTTTTGCGATGGCAAATGAGAGAAAAGACAAAAAATAAATCAAGAAATGCCTCCATTCTACCTATCTGGATGCATTCATTTGGAAGTATAAGTTACTTAGAAAGAAAAGTTGCATAAAAAAGAAGTAAACTAATACAAATCCTTGGAAGGATGACTCACAAAGTATCAAAGTCTCAAGGATAGTGTGTAATTCAGTAAAGTTAGCAATGGTAATGCCCCTACACTTCTCTTAATGCCAATAATAAAAAAAGGCAGAAATTAACATAAAAATCGTCCAATTTTCCTTTTCCTTTTTTTTGGCAGAGTTGCTTGAAATCAACGTTTATGTTAGTAGAGACCAGACAGAGATGAGTTAAGGGGGCCTAGACATCGAAGGAATTCTCAGTTGGCAGTCACGCAGCCGGTACGCCTACGATAAAGAAGGGTTGTCGAACCTCCTCAGCATGATAGGAATGGAAACAGCATCCCTCTTAATGCTTCCATTTTATTGACAAAACGTCAACTGCACTTCATCTGCTAAGCGAGAGGCAGGTGGTTCTGAGTAGCATCACTCGAAACCATTTCTTAATTACACAGTCTCTGCACCTCTGGGGACGCCCACGGTTTTGTCAGGTGGCTTAACAGGCACGTGGCTTCGCGCGCCCAAGCCCCAGGGTGAGGTGGGTTCGCAAATACCATCGCCCACAGATACTACATATTGGCGCCTGCCTCTCCATGATTCTATTGACATCTGATTTGGAAGCGCATTCTCCCCTTTAATCATCTATTCGATTCCATGAATTTAATAAGTAACCTGAGGATCTTTTTTAAATGTTTAAAATAAATCTTTAAGTCTCCCTCCGTACAAAAATCTATGCAAATTCTCTTATAAGTTAACTACTGTCAGTTGACAAGTGCCATTATATTTGCACTTTATACATCTGGATAGAAGTTATAAGGCTTTGAAGTGATAAAAGTAAGAAGATTATGCCACACTTGATGCAATTTTCTATGAAAAAAATACCAAACTATACCTTTAGAAGCCATAATTACTTAATTACTTCACTTTAGGGAAGTGTGCGTGTGAAGCATAGAGGCATAGACAGGAGTATAATTGTAGAAATAGTCGATTAAGTTTTATGCACGCATCAATGCATTAAACTACACTTTTATAATCCAAAATTAAGGGTAAAATTCTGTTTAAAGTAGTCTTTACTCGATAGAAATATGAACAGAAATATATGCTAGAAGTGCTTTTTATAAATGCTTCTATGCAAAATATGAAATTAATTCTTTAAAGAAAGTTAAAGAATGTAATACTTTTAACAAAAAATACATTCAAGCCTTATAATTGCACAAATTTATGCAATTATAATGTGTTATTTCGATGCAGTCCGACGAGAGTCTGTAATAATAAAAGACAATAGTCTCTCACCCATTTGAAAATCCAATGGGCAGAGTTTGTTCAAGGACCAAAGAGGCCAGTGAAACTGTAGACAGTGGACAGTCAGACATCACGTCCTGGGCGGAACTAGGCCAGGGAATGTCAATCTGTTTGGATTTCTTATCTCATGTCTTTCCTCTGACGGAGGAGACACCACCCAAAATAATATCAGGTGATCGGATCATTAGCCTTCTAGGTTTGGCCAACAAATACGTATTCTGTACGTCTATTGATAACCTTCCAGAGGCTGTCAATCATTTAAGTCCTTATTGATTCCAGGCGTAGTCACGCGTAACCGTCTATTGGCACAAATCCTTATAATTATCTCCCCTACAGTTAAGAATTAACTGTCAAAGTACAGTTGTAAGACGGGGTGATTTAAAGAAGCGTATAACAATCGAAGCGTATCGAGTGTTATCTGAATGAAAATGCCAAAGTCACATTCAACTTTAGGGCCTTCCCCTCCTACTCTCGGACAAGAAAAAAAAAAAAAACATAAGGGCACGTCGGTATGTTTGATCCAAAATTCAATTTCTTTTTTTTCTAATATATACTAGTAAACAAAGCTAAATGCATAATTTATTAACGAGAAGCTTTTAGGTTTCGCCCTAGACGTCTTGAATGGAAAGTAAAACAGGGAGTTATGGAGTGAACCCTGTACCTTCGGGGCTTCTCCATTATCTTGACCAGTTTGCCCGAAGAACCGCTACCTTTCAAGTAAAGACTAAATGATAGTCTCAAATCACGACTAGATTGGGGGAGGGAAGTTCTAAAAAATTAGGGGTGAGGTGTGTCTCGTGTTCAAATGCCACACCTAGGGTGTGCCACTTATCCGTAAGTTTTCTTCGACTACCTGCTGCCCTCGGGGACATTAAAATATTGTTCTTTTTAAAAATTCTCTCCCCTCTTCTTTTTTTTTTTCTGGCGTGGGGCTCCCGCTTGTAGATTTAAACCATGCCCCAGGAAAGATGAGACTTCCTGAAGTTCAAAGGGCGCTTGTTTTTGTAAATGGGCACGGTTGTTGTAGTAGTAGACCCGCGGCATTTACCTAGGTGAAGGCAATACGATACTTACAGCGTCAACATAATGGTCCAGTGACTTATTTTTGGTTTGGGAAAGGTCAAAATTACTACTTTTGAGTGAACGAACACAGAGTCGAGTTCTCAGAATAAACAGACCCAACGTCTAGAATTTCGTAAACAGAATCATTCCCTGAAGTCTTCTTCTAAGAACTGACAATATAATGTTTTCAAAATACGGAGAGTGACGATTTTTCTAAGCGATCGTTTTATATAAACTACAACTACCGAGGTCGGATCGGAGGTCAAAGTAGAAACTTCTTATCGTGGTTCCTCCTTTTAAGAGCGGCTCTACTGTTGTTTTGTTTAATTAATTCGGCAGTGACCTTGGCTTTGTCGTGTGGGCGCCACGTCCCGGAGCATTAATCCAGACAGAGAAGGAAGAAAGAAAGAAAGAAAGAAAAAAAAAAAGCGCAGTCGTTTTTCGGGCACGCGCCGCGGCCGAGCAATGAATCTGTATGTGTCGATAGCGGAAGTGGCTGCAGCAGTACAACCTCAGCATCTAACAATAGAAACGCCACAGGTTGTAACGCAGTTGGTTCTGCCAGAACCGGTCTGCAGCAACTAGCTGGGGGCGGAGTTTTCCCACACTCCAAGCACAAGACCTGCTCCTAGTTGGCACGTGGTTTTAGCAACAGATGTCCAGCTCCGTTCAAATTACACCCTTATTGATTCCCAGTTGAAAAGTTGCACCCACTAGCGGCATTTTTACTTCGACTCTCACACCCGGTGGCATACCACCCCCGAAAGGAAAAATAAAAAATAAAAAAAAGAAAAATAAGAAAAAAAATTTAAACCGGGCCGAAATAAACTGGAACGAGCTTCGCCGTTGACGTCATTATGTGCCACACTTAAGTCGTGTGCACGGTGCGTGGTGTATCAGGCCATTGCACGCCATTGTGCCGAGCCGGGTCTGAAGACTCGTGACCTGCGTATTGGACCCGGGGGCGCAATCTGGGCAAGAGGACTGCGTTGATTGGCTGTCGGACCATCACACTGTGGGAACGTCTAGATGCTATGGTTCTCACACTGGCTTCCCGCATGCTTCACTGACCTCATATATATAGCATCATGCATTCCCATACATGTAGTCAGTTGATTGTGTTGCGTCGCCGCTATTATTTTGGATTTATAATATGTTTACTGTGATACCGAATGCCTTTAGATGTTTCTAGTAGGCCAAAGAATGCCAGCTGAAAAATCCAACATGAAAACTAGCGAAAATAGAAGGGTAAGTGTTGTGTGTTTTAATAATTAAATAAATTATAAATCGCTCGCTTATACTTTACTTAAACTAATTTAAATCTTATTTTTAATTCAGGCAACTAAGCCCATTATGGAAAAGCGTAGAAGAGCTAGGATTAATCAGTGCTTGAGCGAACTAAAAACACTTATTTTAGACGCCTTAAACAAAGATGTAAGTGTTTTATCCCCCTACACTTTACGTTTACTCGTGTTTTTTTTTTCGTTGGAGGAATGTAAATATATGATTTTCTTTTTAAATTATTTCTCTGTAGCCGTCCAGACATTCCAAATTAGAAAAAGCCGATATTCTAGAAATGACCGTCAGGTACTTGCAAAACGTGCAAAGACAACAAATGGCAGGTAACTAATCATTCTTTCCCTCCTTCTATTCCTTTGATTTACATCCTCGTTTCGTATATTTAAATTGTTCTTCCTACTTTTCAGCTGCCATTTCTACAGATCCTACAGTCCTTAACAAGTTTCGTGCCGGTTTTAACGAATGTGCGACCGAAGTGAGCCGTTACGTGAGTCGAATCGAGGGGGTGGATCCGGCCCTAAGACAACGTCTCCTCAATCACCTGTCTCATTGTCTCAACGGTCTCAATTCTACACCGCCCTTTTCCACGCAAGGTGCAGGAACTATGGCCTTTCCCGGTATGAGCCCACAGTTCTCCAATGTACTCAACCCTCTGCAATCTCTCAGCCTTCAGATACCAGCGGGTGTACCTGCCTATCTCAACAGATCCGATGTGAATAATAACTCGACTAATTCGACCCTATCGCCGTCTTCCAGTAGTAAACTATTCAATGGTTTACCATTGATACCAACACGTCTACCTAACGGGGACTTTGCATTCCTACTTCCAAGCCAGTCCCTATCCACATCTAGTGATCAGTTATCTAACACGGAACCCTCTCAGCTCGGTTCGTGGTCTTCTTCTGTTCTAACATCCCCTACAGCATCGGCCAGCCCGGATTTATCGGATGGAAGTGCGCTAAGCCCTACGGGTTCTGAATCCTCGGACTTAAATCCCCCAACAACACAGGAGCCACCCCTCAGAAGCTCTTCTACATTCGAGCCTCGTAACGAGGTGTGCAAGGAGAGTACACCCCCGAGGAAGGACTCAAACGAAAACGGACAGGATAACGAAAATGTCTGGAGGCCCTGGTGATACTAAAACAAACGGTTTCAATGGGGGAGTGCATTTAAGACTATACTTTCCTAAGGACTCAAGGATCTCAATTGTGTTGTGCTGTAGCTTGTACATAATATATTTTTTTTTTTTTTTGCTGGGATTCAGCTGTGTGTTGGTTATATAAAAAAGTGTTTTTTTTTCCTTTAAAATTGAAGTTTTTGTGTGTTTATTTTTATATACAAAATCGTTCTGTAGCATTAGGTCAATCGGAAAGCACCTCCTCAATCAGATACACCTTGAAGCAGTTGAGTGAGGTGAAGCAAATAACTTCCTGGATTAAAAAAAATTAATTAATTAAACGGAAAAAAGAATATATAAATATATGTAGAAGGTTAGTTGGACGAATTATTTTAAAATTTAAGTAGTCTTTAAAGCAAAAAAATATTACAATTTAAAGAGTTTAAAAAAAGAAATGAAATTATGCGGTTAAAAAAACGAGTTTATATTATTAAAAATAAGAAATAAATAAAAATTTATTTACTAACATCCATTAATTGATTAAACATTCGTCCTTACATAACGGGTTCTAAGGGGATTCTATGTAAATGTTAGCTAGCTCTACAGGTTTCTGGCGCGAGTGATGATGATGATGATGATGACGATGACGATGACGAAGAACACTTCAAGATCTGGTTACGTGTCACGTGATTGAAGTTAAATATTCAACCCTGCGAAGGTGAAAAGCACCTGTCGTATGGGAAGAGCAGTTAAAAAAAAAGAAAAAATAATAATAATTAACCAAAGGCTCGAAATTTTGTGTCTAAACATCCCCCCTGTTTTATGTATACGATTCTTAAACTACACGTAGTCTCTGATTTATCAGTCAATGATTAATTAATGCAAACGACTGGTAACAGGTGACAGGTTTTTGACAACAAAAACACGAAAGAGGATAGTATAACTGGTCAAGTTGATCAAGGTCCAGTTCAGATGGGGCCAACATGTTTTTCTCAGTCTAGACAAGCACTCAGACTATATGCACCGGCATTTAGTAGCAGCTGGGAGTGTGCGATGGTGGGAAAATGCCACCGTGCCAATGACAGGTGGGTTGATGGCGTGAGAAAATTCCGTCCCCGCGTGTGTGCGCGCGCGTATGTGTGTGTGTCCTGGTGGCGAGGTTGTATGCCTTAGGCACTATTTATTTCCCTACGGTCTCTCTACACCAGGTGCTTTTTTGGCATACTGCTGAACCATCCAAGAATTGAGAAACAATTATCATATCTAGATACAACACTGGATGCATCTGCTGGATTTTCCTATTATGGTATGAGCCAGCCTATCTATCCCCCCTTTAATGCGATAGTCTTCCCCCTATCTTTGTATGAGATTGCCTCGAATATCTCGTGTTTCTTTTTTTTTTTTTAACCAACATTTTACTGTTAAAAACTTCATTTAAAACTAATGAAAATAAGATTTTTCACTGTAATTATAATTAAAGACTGGTNAAAAAAAAAAAAAAAAAAAAAAAATTACGTATCTGTTTAGCCTAAGGCACGTGACTGAGAGACACGTGCTAACCACCCAAGTCGGGGAATCACCTCAAAGTGTATGCCCTGGGGCATCTTTTCTCCGACAGTTACTTGACTTCAGATAATAGGCAATCATTTACAAAAATAGAAAATTGAAGTCAGCACCTCCTCTTTTGTCGATTATGCCCCCACTTTGGTTTTGTTTCAAATTTATGACTTTCAATTCATGGAATGCAGTAATGAGCTACTGATTTCGTTCGATAAAAGGGCCCCTTCACTATCCCATCTGACGTATTTTAATCCTATTAACCAAGACTTTCGAACGTTTGAGTATCCAAACTCCAACTGTTCTCGAGTGTCATCCAGGATGATGGAGTTCGGACCCGAGCATTGAGTTGGTGATAGTACTTTTAATTGTTAGGTTAGATGGTGTTTATGTGTAAACATCGTTAAAAATCCTTAAAATTAAAATAATAAAAGGGATATTTTATAAAATATCGCGAAAATTACCTGAAAATATCGGATAGTTTAGCTAAATCCACGAAGTTTTCAACCGGTGGCTCGCGATCGCCGGGATGTGGAGGAGCATTTTCCTTGATGATTTTACCACTTCTGTAAGCGGAAAAAAAAGAACAATGTTAATATACTTTAGGGAATTTATTGGAGTGAGAGTTAATTAAATAAATTAAGTTTTAATCGCATTTTTAATGAGTGTTTTCAGGCCCAAATCGTAGAAATTTCGTTGTGTTTTCTTATAACCTTTCAACCGGTCGAGTTTGGGGATGAGCGTAAAGTCAAGAAAAGTCAAAAATGCTTGGCAAAACTCGTCGAATTCAGGAAGTGAGATAACTTATTTTGCGTCGTCTCAATTATGAAGAAGTTCGTTTACCTCTTGAATATGTCAACGGCCCTGTGTCTTGAGTCCTAAGGGAGGACGCAAAAACGTAATAAATATTGTCAGTTAACTAAGCTCTTCAACACCCTCGATAAATCAGCCCTTAACGAGATTAAACGACAAACGTCAAGTCCCTTTGTCTATTAAAAAAAAATAAAAATAAAAAAAAATAGAATGGCCTGAAGCCATCCATCCTCTCCTTAATGTTAACCACCAGCGATTCTAGGAAGAGAACCCTTTTTCCATCAAGAATAAGGTTGGGAGCTTGATAGAGATTATCCATTAAGGGACCTTAAATCTTCCTTTACAAAAGGCAAATTCTAACACTTAATCAACCCACTTGAAGGCCTTTTAATCTCCATAAGTAGGGTCTTGGGGACACGTTTCTGAAATTAGTTATGCAAAGAATTGCCCGAGCGAAAAAATTCCAAACTTTTTCAATTTATGAATAAATAATAGCCTCGGGGGGAAGTTCATAACGAAGATCAATCGGAGAATAAGACAAAAATAGATTAAATTAACGTTGTCAAAGTTGATAATGAGGACCCTTTTTTTTCGGCGATTTTTCGAATGGTTTTGTTGTGTATCTACTGTTAATTCCCTATAGAAGTGGCCCGAGGTGGATATATTAACATAACGATAATAATATCTTTATCATCTACTCCATAAATTTGTTATGTATATGGTAATATTCCAGGGGGAGGGTTCACACTAGAATTTTGTCACCTGCAACACTCTCGTTTGCATTAAAATGTCATCGAATTTTAAGGGAACATCAAGCGAATAATTACCCTACTTCGGGGTAAAAGTTAGACTTTAAATAAGGTTTTATGTAAGTTAATCAGTCCCTTGAATTATAGGTTTTCACTTCATAAACTTACCCATTTTTATGCTCGGGCTGAACGTTTAGAGGAATTTTCCTCATGCTGCGATTTTATTATTCAAAAATATATCAGGTCTTTGAAGGTGAATGTACATTAAAGAAATGATATTCTAATGTTGTAGTTAATACACCTTAAAATTTTTACACCTGTTACATGTTTTATGCGTTATATTCAAAATTTAGGAACAAAAATACTTTAGGATTGACACTAACCATTGTAAGATCTAAAAAAGTAGAGTTTTATGAGTAATAACACATTTATTGAAGGATTAACAAACTTCTTCTGGGATCTGTATCTCTGTAAAGGATCTGTATGTATAGATATGAAGGATCTACAACTGTAATAAGTCTGTACTCTGTTGCTTTAAAGGATCTGTATGTATAGCTATGAAGGATCTACAGCTGTAATAAGTCTGTACCTGTTGCTTTAAAGGATCTGTATGTATAGCTATGAAGGATCTACAGCTGTAATAAGTCTGTATT